GGGGGGGCAACAACAATTTTAAGAGAACTTGTGTTAGATTTATTGATTTTGAAGGATATTTCTCAGTTATCTGTGATTTTTCTAATCAGTCCAGAAGTATAGTCAGGTTCTACTGTAATTCAATATTTCCTATTAGGTTGATGTCAAACTTTCGGTGCAGTACATGTCGTTCAGTGCGCACGCTGACGCGAAGGGGATCATGCAGCTGATTCAGCAGTGCGAGCCCAAGAACGTGATGCTGGTGCATGGCGAGGCAGGCAAGATGGAGTTCTTGAAGAAGAAGATATTCCAGGAGTTTGGTGAGAAAATGGAATGAAAATAACTGCTATTTGGAAATAGTGACAAGATGAGGTGTTTCAGTCACAATTATGTTGTCCTTAGTTTTAGGATTTAATTTAGAGTGAAATTGTTGATTAAATTTCAGTTGATAATTTACTTTTGAAACAGATTGTAAAAAGTTCATTTTTAAAAGAGATTGCGAAGAGTACCATTTCCATTGTAGTTTTATTGATAAAATTTTTCAAAATAACAGCGAGCAAAAATGTCACTTAAGAACTGATTGATGTTGACTCAGAATCAAGAACGTATGTAATTTTTGCATTTTTATTACAATTAAACTGAACTTATTTGAAAGTGACTGTAAAATAAAACAAGATCATTATGACATTTCATTTAGATTGCTTTATTGGTTTTTGTCGGCCAGCATGTAAAATACGAGTGTGATTTTCATTCATGTGATATTGTTCAAGCAGTAGAACTTTTTCAGTCACTGCTATTTTGAGTGACCTGGTTTCTGATTGGTTACCACAGGGACAGAATGTACAATGCCAGCCAATGGAGAGACGGTTACCATAGCAACATCTGCAGACATTCCAGTAGAGGCATCAGTCAATTTACTTAAAAGAGAAATGTCATCAGGAGCAGGTGAGGGGCAGAATTTCCAAAACTTCTCCAGATTCTTAAATGAAGAAGTTGTTTTTAAAAGCAAAGTAATTTTTAAATGTGCCAAGGATGTTTGCATTTCTGTATTTTTAAGGGTTTTTTAAAATGACCTGTTTTTTTTTTTTTTTAATTGCTTAAGGATTAATGGGTTGAAGAGGGTATTGGCATTTGCTAAGGTGGGTCAGAAAAAATCCCTTAAAACATGAAAATTTTTGGAAAATTATTTCAGAATGTTTGCTACAAGGGGAATTTACTGATGTAATTAATAACAAGCTGTATTCTTTTAATTTAAAATTTTTTCTCAAGGTCCAGACCCCAAGAAACCCAAACTGATGCATGCGGCCCTGGTGATGCAGGGGGCAGAGGTGAGGGGGTCACTTATTTATTTATTTATTTATTTATTTATTTATTTATTGATTGATTGATTGATTGATTGATTGATTTGTTTTCAGATTTTATATAATATTTTTAATTTATTTAGTTTTTGACCTGATATTAATTTTTGGTGCAAGAAGATACAGCATGGTATTTAAGAACATTAAGTAGGGATAACAAGTTTATTGTAGTTATGATATGATAATGATAATTATTATAAAAGGAATATAGTTATAATACTTATAATTATATTTCTTCTGCCAGTAAGATAAAATGCACAGTAAATCAGTTCAGTGATGGATGTATATATATTAACCAGTCACCTAGATGTCTCTATAAAATTCTGTCAGTTCATCAGTTATGTTGTTCTCCAGAAGATGCAGTTGTTGGATGCAGGTCAGGCAATGAATGAGTTAGGACTGGAGGAACACCAGCTGAGGTTTACTTCTACTGTAGTGATAGAATACCCCGGGGAAGTGGAACAGACTGTAGACAGGATATATCAATATGTGAAGGGGTATATTTATTGTTATTATTAATCATATAGCATTCTCTGTCTCCCATACAAAGGAATTCTATTGAAAATTCAAGAAAATTCAGGAAAATAAATCTAACTGAATTTCAGGTGAAGGTGAATTTTTTTGTAATTTTTTCCAGTAAATTAAAAGACTTCCCAGTACAGTTGTCAGCAGACCAGTCCATCACTGTGGCTGATTCCGTCCTGATTAAAGTCTCTGGTGATGATGACGAGGCAGAGAAAGGCGTTCTGGTCTCATGGTCCTATCAGGTGAGATGTGAATTGGATCAGACAGAAAGTAAGAACTTATGTAGAGGCATTTTATTGGTGTCTGTCATTATTGTGTGCATGAATTTAGTTCTAAAGGTAGAAAAAAGTGCCACCATGGTTATTATGTGAAAAATAAAATACTGTATATTTCTCTACTTTCTCTTTTTACTTGCTAATAGGATGAAGACATAGGAAGCTACCTCCTAAAATTACTCAAAATGGGAATTCCAAGCACATGAATACCAGGGCATTGTTTGGTAGTGACAGAAGAATGACTTTGGACACCAGGTGGCAGAGATATTCATGACAGGCTGGTTCCTTGTAGTGCAAATAAAGTTGGTAAGCAGAGACACTGGTCAAGTAAAACCAGGCCCAGGAGTTTGTCAAGACGACAGATGCAAATAAACTGTTAGCATTACAGAACCAACTTTTCATTTGTTCCTGATGAATTAGGACAGTACTGTACAGAGACATTTTCCATGTAAAAGATGAACACTCCAGAGGACAGCAATAACCATCATGTGACCCATCTCCATGGTAACCACCATAACAACCAGCTCCATGGTAACCTCCATGACAACCAGTGTGTGGGGAAGCAGATCACAGTGGTCAGACTTCAAATAAGCTTGTTGTGTGAGACACCAACTACCCAGGAATTTCAGTAAATACAACAAGCTAAACTTCGTGACTTTGTATTAGAAGTTTTGAAGATCCCAAGTACCCTGAAGTGTCTGAAGTCTGTGCAGATTTACAGTTTTTATCAAATAGGCACCAAGGAGGTGGGTTATTGCTTCCTCCCCCTCCTTGATGAATGGCGTTGAAATTTGTTTCATTTATTTCAGAAGGACTGTATACAAAACAAAACGGCTGATTACTGCATTACTGGAATAAGTTGAATCTCTTGTTCTTTTTATCTTGAATGGAACAAGACATGCTCACTGGTTTCTACTCTCAAACAGAATGTGAAATAAAATGTGAAAGGCATTATTCATGAAATTTATTTCTTTGAAGTGTACATTGATGATATATTTATCTGTGTAGTAATACTGAATAAATCTCAAATTATAGTCATATGTTTTGAAGATTCAGTATTACAATAGTAATACTAAGAATCTTAACTGATGATTATTCATATTGAAGGTACAGTATTTACAGTTCATTGTACAGTCCATTTCTTTCCTACACAAGTCATTCTGTACAAATTGTAAAATGCTAAAAATCAAACAAATATCGTTTTAGTTTTATGTCAAATTATTTCTATACATATACCAGCAAGTTAAATTTTAATAATGGAAAAATACAATACAATAAAACACTCCCTTTTTCTTTATATGTCCTCTTCAAGTCACTTCCTTGGCCTGCTGTCAGTATTGGCAAGTCTGCAAGGATATTTCCCAGGGCCTGCCTGCTGAAATCCTCTCAGAGCAACATAGATAGAATTCTAGATTTAACATGAAGTAAATTTCACTGCTCATTTTGATATTTAGCACCACACACTTCTTGGCTTGACTAGAGGTAGGAAAGTGAATGAAATAGAAGTGTTTAAAACAAGTATAACAGAAAAATATAACATTTATTATGAGTTTAAACTTTGGGTTTTGATTTTACTAAAGTATTTTTTGGTATTAGTATTATTATTATAAATAAACTATTATTATTATTAGTACAGTATTCAAATGCTGACCCGAAAGCCTCATACACTCTACTATATTCTCATACAAATTATTCAATGTCTCTAATCATAGCAGTGACCAAAGGCTATCCTCACATCATTCTGCAAATAAACTGAAGATATAAATGCTGCAAAAATAATGCTGTTTTAAAGGTAGATGTCACAAAATCTTATTCACATGCTGTTTAAAGGTAGATGTCACAAAATCTTATTCACAGAGTATTTTTGTGCGTTCTCCATTATTAGTGCTGCTGCCATGTTAACAGTTGTGATGATTGTGTTTGCTGATCTCGGCTACCACACTGCCGTGGATGAATCAGATGTACAATTTGTCCATTGTGTTAGGTGCGATGACTGTAGCTATTGTGTTGGTTGTGATGACTACTTGATTGTGTTGCTGATCTCAACTACCACACTGCACATTTGTTCACTGGGTTCATCTTACTGCCAGGCTTACAGTTGTACGCGTTGGAGAAGTCCTCCGAATTGGACAGAGTACCAATTACTCTAAAAATAAATAAAGATATGAAAAATCAGTGCTGTTGTTATGAATGAAAAAAAAAAAAACAAAAACAAAACAACAGAATTTGAGTCTAAGTTTGCTGCTAAATAGTAAATGTTTTGATTTATTTCATTTCTCCTACTGGCAATTATTCTTTCTTAAATCATATAGTATAAAAAATCTTTAAGGTACCATGCACATAGTTGTTTCTGAGATTAAAGATTAATAATAATAACAAAGAAAATAAATAACAATGCACATATGATGATGAAAATATAAAAACAATATTTAAAAAAAATACAACAGTTATTTCTTCTTCTATTTAGTTTAATTATCTGTTTATTAATTTTGATGTTCCTCTTCAGGTACCTGAACCTTCCAGGGCTGTGGACACCTGTTCTAATACGCAGTAGAGCTGACTGTTTTCTCATGGTACCACACCATATCTATAACAATATATTACCATGCAAGACACACGTCATGCTAGTATACAATAAAACATGCAACCTGAGCAGGCCTGTAGGCAGGAAGGGTGGGGGGGG